CTGGGGCCGAGGGGGGAAAGGGGGGCCGTCGGGGAAGGAGAGGGCCAGCGGGGGCCGAGGGAGGCAAAGGGGGCTGTCGTGGGCCATCGGGGACGGAGGAGTGCCGTCGGGGGAGGAGGGGGAAGAAGAAAGCTGTCTTCGGACGTCGGGGACCGAGGGGGGCCATCAGAGGACTGGGGAGGGGAGGGCCGTCGGGGGCCAAGGGGGGGCCGTCGGGGTCGGAGAGGACCGTCGGGGGCCGTCAGGGTTCGAGGGGGCCGTCGGAGACCCGAAGCCAACGTGCATTCGCTTCTCGCGCGCCTATGACACTCATATAGAGGGGCCTCGCCTGTGCGCCCCGCCGCAGGACTTGGGGGGCGCCCCAGTTGGGGGTGCTCAGCCTCGGACACCCTGCGGCGCGGCGGCCGCCCCCCGCCCGGGAACCCGGACCCAGGGCTCCACGTGCAGGAGGCGGGGCCAAGGCAGCGCCCGCGCCCTGCGCATCCTGGGAGCTGTAGTCCAGCAGCTCCGAGACCCGCCGCTCCAGGGATCGCGGAACTACAGCCCCCAGCAGGCCCCGCGGCGCCGCCTGCGCGCCGGGCGCGAGCATAGTGCGGCCCCCAGAGACCGCCCGCCCGCCGGCGCCGGCGACCCGCGCTCACCCTGTAGTTGTGGTAGTGCGTGTCCACGACGTGCCGGTGACGCGACTTGTCGTGCGCGAAGTTGGACTTCTCGCAGACCAGCAAGTGCCGAGGAGCCGATCGCAGCCTGCGCAGGGTGGCCATGCTCTCCACTGCGCAGGCGCGCCGCGCTCGCCAGGCCCCGCTTCCTGCTCCAGGCCCCGCCCTCCGCGGCCCCGCCCTGAGCATGCGCGGTGCTTCCAAGCCGCGGCGCGCTGGCGGCTGGCCAAGGGCGTCCTGGCCCACGCTAGGAGGGCTGGCGGGAACCCCGAACTAAGCCCAGATCCTGAGGGGCGGCAGGGCAACCAGGAAGGCGCTCCTGCAGACCCCGCCGTAAGGGGCCCTTGCGTCCCAGACACTGTCCCGCTGGGGGCCCTGCGGGGTGACGTCGGCGCCCAGTTGGGGGCGCAGCTGCCAGGCCGCCCCTCCCTGGGGCCCCCTGCTCCCGACCAGACGTCCAGCTCCGAGGCCACGCGCAGAGGCTGGGCGCCGCCCGCGTGGGGCGTCCAGAGCCGGCCTTGGGCTTCCCGGTGTCCACCGTCCAAGCAGGCTGTGGGGTCACCGCCACTTCGCTGGGCCGAGAAAGCCCGCACGTGGCCGGGTGTCTGGGGCACAGGGGCGGTGACAGACTGCGTGCCCTGCCCGTTCTGTTCTTGGACCGCACCCCCGGGCCTGTGTCCAGTGTCTGCGGAGTCACGGTTCAGCTGGACACCGGTGGGCTCCTTGGGGTCCAGCTGGGCCCATGGAGGTGATTCTGGGGTCATTGGGCTGGAAGAGGGGGTCTTGGGGTGACACCGGAGAGGTGTCCCCGGCGCCCACCGTGTCCCCACGAGGCACACGCTGGTTGTGTTAAAGAGCAGGTTCTAGGCAAGGGGCAGAGGGGTACAGGGCTCGGTGTGGACACAGCGGGCAGGGAGGCTGCCGGGAGGGACGGGATGCTGAGGCCTGCGAGGTCCAGGCGGGCGGCTGAGGGGTCAGTGAGAAGCCCTGGCAGGTGCAGCCCCGGGAGCAGGGAGGGAGCACCCCTGGACCCCACAGGCCGGGGATGCTGGACCCCCCCACAGGCCCGCCTGCCCAGTCCCCTAGCAGGGACCGCCCTGCCATCGGTTCCCAGGAGCCTGCCCCCACCCAGGCACTGGTGCTCTGTGGCCCGAGCCCAGCCTGGTGACATCAGCTGTTGCTCTGCGGTCAGGGCCACCGGGGCCATGTTGTGCATGTGCCTGGGCGGGCGGGCGGCCGGTGACCAAGGGTGGCCTGCACGTCCACTGCTGGGCGTGCCTGGGAGTGGTCTCCTGCTGCCGCTGCCTCCTCCGAAAAGTGGGAGTCGGTGGGGCAGAAACGCCCCCTCGGAGCCGCGCCGCCCCACCCAGGTGCGGCTGAGGAGACAGCTGGCCCTCACCGGACGCCTGCCCTGAGCCCTCGGGAGCCTGGCTGCAGCAGGCCTGGCCCTGCTCGGGGACCCCCTTTGGCCACGTGGAACCTGCCCGGCTCCCGCTGTGGCCGACACCGGGTGTGTGGAGGGGCCGATGTGGGTGGGGCGCGCCCCTGCTGCGGGGGGGTCCCATCACGTGGGGTGGGGGAAGGGGCATGGAGGCCCACGTGCAAACCGAGAAGCCTGGGGGACCCCCGCGAGTGCACAGCCTGCCCCTGCTGCCCTGGACTCCAGTGTTTGCTCCTCCCGTGCATGGGGGGACGGGGCAGGGCCTGGACCTGGGGCCATCGGCCGGCTAGACTGGGGACCCGCCCCCACCCGCAGGCCCCACGCTGGGTCGGGCCCGGTGGGGCTCCAGGAAGCCCGGGCTTCCAGGTGCTGCAGCAGGGTCTCCACACCCGGCCCGGCCGGATGCACCCTGACCCCCAGTAGCCCGGTGAGCAGCGCGCGGACACGAGGCTGGGGCCGGGGGCTCAGCGCAGTTCTCTTTATTTAGGGGGGGAGGGAGAGTGCGGGCGGGGCGCCTCCTGCTCAGGCCCCCCACCACCCCACCCCGGCGGGGGCAGGGCCAGGCTGCTGCTGCGGCTGCGGCGGCCAGGGGTGGCCCTAGGCCCGGGGCTGCTGCGGCTGCTCGATGACCAGCTTCTCGGCGGAGTAGAGCTCACCGATGTGCACCTGCGGGGAGGGCGAGGGTGCAGCGGGTGGGCTCGGGGAGCTGGGCCACGCCCCCACAGCCCCTCACGCGGCCCCGTGAGCGCGTGGGAATCCCGGAAGGAAGCAGAGCGCCGCCCACGCCCACCGAAGGGCTGCAGGGGTGCGGAGCAGGGCAGCGCAGGCCCGCGGGGCGGACAGCCAGCAGGGCGCCAGGCGGCCAGCAGGTGGCAGGAGAGGGCCGTGCGGGCGCAGGGGCGGGGCTCCCCACACCCCACTCTGCGGGCTCGCACCTGCCCTCCCAGCGGCCCGAAAAGATCGGCAGGGTCGCCCACTGACCGGACCACTCTGTCAGGGACAGGCAGGCTGGGGCTGGCCACGGGGTGGCGAGCGCGCGCTGGCGGTCAGCCCAGCCCTAAGCAGCCAAGGGTCAGGCCCTTGCTCCCAGTGACCCCGCCAGCCTGCGGGGGCGGGGGTGGGGGAAAGGTCCCGGGTCAGGGTCAGGCCTTCCTGGCCTGCAGGGGCCTGGGACGGCTCACAGAGCCTCGGCAAGGCGGTCAGCTCCGGGAGCAGCAGGCAGCGGCGCCGGCCTTTGCGGGCCTGGTGTGGCCCTGCCGCCTCGGCCGCCATTGGGGGTGTGCTCTGGGCCCCGCGCCTGGGCGGTCGGGGTGAGCCCCAGTGCCCGCAGGCCCCCCATCTCCAGGCCGTCCACTGGGGGCAGCCGTGCAGGGAGGCAAGGCCGGGGCCAGACAAGGGGCTCCGCAGAGGCCCGCGGGGAAACCAGCGCGACGCCAGGCAGCCGGGCACCCTGGTCCTCTCCAGGGGGCTCTGTGCTGGCTCCGGCCGCGGGCTGCTGAGGAGGAAGGAGCCGCCGCTGCCCCGGGTGCAGGACACCGCAGCAGCACAGCCTGCTCCTGCGGCGCCCAGCACACTGCACCCCGCTTTTTGCAGACCCTGCCCCGGCCCTGCCCTGAGGGTGGAGGATGCTGGCGAGCAGTGGGCAGGCGGTGGCGGCCACAGGGATCCTGCACGGCTGGACCCCCGCAGGTCAGGGGACCCGGAGTGCTGCCGCGCAGGCCCAGCTGGCCGCCACAGGAGGGCGCTGCACGCAGGCGGGACACCAGGGCTGCCTGGGGGGCCAGGGTGGTCTGACGCCCCCCTCTGCGGGGAGCACTGTGGAAGCCCTGGAGGGCCTCCTGGGCCCTTTAGGCAGAGCTGGCTGCCCTCCGCCGCCCCACCCAGCGGGCGTGACCCAGCAAGTGCCAGGAAGACCCGTCCCAGGAGCCCGGTGCTCTGCCCCCCAGACACCCGCGAGCTGGCAGACCCGTGGGCGTCTCTGAGCGCCAGTCGGGTGAGAAACGCCAGCTGTGGACACGCAGCCACAGGCCGACACTCAGGCTGCTGCCCGAGCTGTCGGGGCGGCCACGGGGCTCCAGCGCGCGGCGGGAAGCTGCCAGGGCCTCGTCACCTGCTGTGCCGGCCGCCGGGCACGATGCCCTGCCGCCTCCCATGGGCCCCTGGGTGCTCCTGGCCTGGGGCGGCTCTGACCGCTCGGCACCGGGCACTTAGGCCTGTTCGGAAAGGCCAGCTCAGGGCTGAGCCAGAGCAGGTCACAGAGGTCCCCAGGCCCCGGGGCCCAAAGCCAGCCCGGCGTGGGAGTGGGGAGCCCCGCAGGTAGGGGCGTGCCTGGGGAGGAGGGCAGAGCCTGCGCCCCACGTCCTGCACCCCCTCCCCCAAGGCCCCGCGGCACCCACACCACACTTACCTGCCGGCGGATCACCCCCAGGTCCCGCCTAGCCTTGTCCACCAGAGCCTGGACTTCCGCGGGGTCCCTGACGTCCTTGTTGGCTCGGAAGGCGTCGCGTATCCTCCGGACAGCGTAGGTCCTGGCAGAAGAGGGCGAGAGAGGCGTCGCGTGGCCGGGCCAGCTCTCCCCCCTGCCTGGCCCACCCTCCTGTCCTCACAGTGGATGCCATCCCAGTGGGGTGGACGTCATCCAGGAAAGGGGGCCAGGAGGCGCCAGGGGCTGGTGGCCTGGGTGGTGACGCCTGTCCGGGAGGGCCCAGGCAGGACCTGGACAGGCCGAGGGGGGCACGGGCGGGGTAGACAGCAGGACCTGCCATCAGGCACTGGCTGTGGTTCAGCCAGCCCAGGGGAGCCCGGGTGCCAAGGGCTTTGGGCAACAGTGGGAAGGCCACCCCTGCCCAGGGAGGCACTGTGGCGCGGGGGCCACCCCATAGTAGAGCCTGGCCTCACACCAGGGTTGGGGGCAGAAACAGGAACGGGCGCGTGGAAACATGTGAAACCAGGTCAATGTGAATACCGACAAGCAACCGGTCCAGCGGCAGCAGCGGTCCCTGCCCGTGGTAGCCTGGGGTGGGGGGCGCGGGGACCCCGGACAGGCACAGGCTGGCAGGGCCCACGGGACACAGGCGGGGTAAAGCTCCCACCCCAAAGGCGCCTAAGCGGAGGGACGCCCGGGCAACAGGGTCAGCAGGATCAGCGG